GCCAGGAAGCCCCCCACTGAGGCCCCCACGATAACAGCCACCGTGGAGTCGCGCTCCGGGGGCACTGCAGAGACAGAGCAGGGCAGGTGAGGAGGGAGGCCGGGGGGACGAGGGAGTCTGAGCAGCAGGGAAACCAGGCAGCTCCGGCCAGCACCAATGGGACTATGTTGGCAAATCCAGGCCCTGCCCTACCTTACGTGGGGTCTGATGGGAGGAAACGCGTGCAAGGCCCCACACACAGACAGGCCATGGGTGGGAGTGGGATGTGCTGACAGGCACGGCCTGGAGATGGGAGGAGCAAGCCCCTACGTAGCCACGTAAATCACACGGGCCACGGCTGGCATTGCCCCTGGGCCTGTGGGGGGAGGGCGCACTGGGACCAGCCCCACAGCCAGCTGATGCTGGGAGGGGGGGTTGGGTAGTTTCCTTGATTGGAGACCCTGAAGTAACTGTCTGAGGAGGGACAGTGCTGCCCAAGCAGGCTGCAGATCCTCAGGCTCCACAGAGCCAGGCGATCCCCATCTTGCCCCTCGCTGCAGGAGTCCGTGTCAGAGCCCAGACCAGGACTTAGGAGCGCCCGGCTCCCAGCCCTTCGCCTGCCCCCATCCCCTGCGAATGCCAGTCGTCCAGCTGCTGCGGAGAGCTCCCTGGGGCTGGGAGGGAACTGGGGCACCGCGGACGCTGATCTGTGCTAACACAGACAGAGAAGGGGAACTACAGGAGGCCTCAGAGTCCCCCTCCTCCTGTCATCGCTCCTGGCCCGGTGAGGAGCCTGGCTCTGGGACCATGGCAGGGCCAATTCCCCAGGGGATGGAAACATGCCCTGACCTGTCGCACGCCCCAGAGACAGGCAGGGAGTGGCAGCTCAGCCCGTGGGCGGGGAAGGCCGGGGGTCACTTCCTGGCCCCCTTGGTGACAGTCACCAGCCAGACGAGCCCGAGTCCCCACTGAACCGTCCCTGCCCACATCGGCCCGGTGAGCTGGAGCGGCCGCGGGATGTGGGCTGGGACGGAGGGGTGGGGCAGCGTGGGTCAGAGCAGCTGCCTACACTGTACCAGCTCTGGCCTCTGCTGTCGCCACCATTGTTCAATATAAAACAGCAGCCCCCCATCCCCGTCTGCCCCCCACCCAGCGCCCCTCCCCCCCCATTTGCCCCCCGCCCAACTCCTGCCGAGCCGGGCCGAGCCTGCTGCGCACCCACCTTCGGTGATAACCTTCAGGAAGATGCGGGCGTGGCCCCGGTGCCTGTCAGGCGGGTTCATCACGTAGCAGTTGTAGGTGCCCTTGTCCTCCAACTGCACCTGGTGGAGGGTGAAGGACACGTCGTTCTTGCTGGGGTTTCCGGTGAACTCCACCCTGTTCCCGAAGCGATCCAGCCGCCAGTGCACGATCTTCATCCGGAACTGCAGGAACTGGGCAGAGACGGGGGGCGGGGCAGTGAGAACGCCGGGGGGGCTACACCCATGCTGGTGCCCACAGGCCAGTCAGAGACCACAGCACCTCGCCTCCTTTCCCTGGGGCACACGCCGCTCAGAGCTCAGCTCCCCTGGCCCCGCTGGGATCACCCTGCCCTCAGACAATCACACAGCTGCCCCGAGAGCTACAGGGCCCTGAGCCTGCCGGCGGGAACGGGAGGGAGCCCTTTGGTATCACGGGCTGAGAGTGGCCACCCTGGGTCAGGACACTGGGAGCTAGGCTGCCAGCCGGGGCCAGGGCATTGGTCACTCATGGCTGTCTCCTGCCTGGGCTTTGCCCCAGCCGTAGCAGGAAAGTTTAAGCAAACCCAAGGGTCCAGCCAGCCGCTCACCACCTGGAGAGAATCCTTCATCTCTGGCCTACAACCTACAACCCTCTTCTGCCTCGTTTCCAGTTAGTCTCACCCGCGGCTGGCCTGAGCAGTGGCCACATCCCAGGAAATGGGACATTCCCTCCGGACACAGAGGCCTTTAATACTCACATGGGAGTGGGATCTGGGTACCTGGATAGACCCAGTGTTGGGTCAGCGATCCCCGTCCTCCCATATCTTCCTCCACTCAGTGTGTCCTTCCTTCCCCTTCACCCCCAGGGAATGCTCTCAGGACCAAAGCCTGGGGCCTTGCTCTCTTTCTATTCAGTCCTTACACAGGCCTGGACTACGCTACGAACTGACATCAGCATAGCTACGTCTCTAAGCAGTGTGAAAATTCCTCCCCCTCCCCCCCGAGAGATGTAGCTACACCGACCTGACCCTGGTGTAGACAGCGCTAGGGCGACAGAAGAATTATTCCATCAACCTGGCTGCTGTCTCTCGGGGAGACCGCCTCCCGTCAGCGCAGACAGTGTCTACACTGCAGCTGGAGCTTCCCCTGAGCACACACTGAGACAACCTCAGAGCGAACCCCAGTCAGCAGCGGGACCCGCAAACAGGGTTGTGGGACTCGAATCTGTGTCGCCAACTCTTGACATTTTATAACAAGCCAAGTGACATTCGGGGTTTTCCTTAAAGCCCAGCTCCCGAGTCGCCGGGGCAGGAGAATCTCAGCTTTCTTTCCCTTTTTTTAAGGCAGGAAGTTCCCAGCCCGCCTGGAGCAGAGAAAAGTTTGAAAACGAGACCCTGCTGGCTCCGAAAGCAGACTAGAGCCCCAAGTTAGTACTTTGGTAAACCTGATGATTTTAAGCCAGTCTCATGATTTTGGGGGGGCCTGGCTCATGATGTTTGATGGTTCAGAGCTGGACCCACAACCCCCTGCAGGAGGTACTTACCAGTTCCTCGCTGCAGTTCTCACATTCCTGGTAGGTCCAGTTCAGGGAGAACAGTTTATTCTCCACTTTGTAGCAGGAGTTGAAGGTGCAGGGGAGGCGCACGGAAGAGCCATTCAAAGCACTGACGGTAGTTTGCGCCGTGATCTCCATGCCCAGCCCACAGGGCGCTGGTGAGAAGACAGGAATGAAACAGGAGGGAGGAGAAGAAAGGAAGAAGTGAACAAATACTGAAAATTGCAAGCGCTAATGTCTGCCCCACCCCTTGGGGGCTGTGGGCCTGGCCTGCTGGTGGAGCTGTCCATGGGGCGGAGAGACTGGCAGGTACACAAACACACACATCATGGCTGCTGTGGCACTCTGGACACGGTCATAGGAAAAGGGGCTTTTCCAAGGGACGCTAATCAGCCTACAGCAGTGCACTGACCTCTCAGCTCCCGCCTCGCCAGTGGCAGGGTGATAATGTACCCGCTGACTCGGACACAAAGGACAGACACAGCTTGATCCCAGATTGGCCCGTCTGCCCCTTAGGGAGAGCTGACCTGAAAGGACCTGCCTTAGTCCCTGGCTAGAGAGAGGGCTGTGTGTATGGGATAGTGGGATAACCCATCTACATGGGATTTGAACGCAAGCCTCTTGCCTGGTTTAAGAACCTGTCACAGCCCCATGCTCCATTGCCCTGCTGCCCGCCTCTCTCAGCCCTTCCCCACTCAGCACTGACTGCAGGTGAACGCTTTTCACGGCCGCTTAAATCAGGTTTGCTATGCAGAGGCCTGGATGAGCTGCAGTGGCCCGGATGCAGCATCAGCTGTGCAGGGCTCAGTGCCACATCCACTGGGGAAATTGATGGCTGCGCTCATCAGATTTCATTCCCGGCAGGACGCACTGGGGGAGTGACCGGCCCCTGCCAGCGCTGGGCTCTGGGGGCTGCAGGGAAAATGCAGATTCACTTTATTTTCCCCCTTAGCTGGTGTTTGAGCAACACTCTCTGGCTGGAAGTCAAGCGGCCAAGCTGCCAGATGCTCCTGCTGGCAGAGAGGGGGCAGAGCTGGTTTCTGCAGTGGAGCCCATGCTGCAGAGCAGAAATGGAGAGATTAACACACACAGCCCTGGGGCAGCATGGCATAACGCTCCCTCTGCCTCCCACTCCCCACACATCCCCCTCTCCCTGCACCCCCCACATCGCCTCGCCAAGCCCCACCCTGGCTCCCACCCACTCTGTTGGCCAAATCCAGAACTGGGGAGAGCAGAGACCACAGTGGCTCATGCTGCTCACAGCAGGGCCAGATCTGCGCGTCTCCCCTCTGCTCGCTCACTCCTCCTTTCTGACTCTCCCCTGCCCTAAGGCTCCCCCTGCCAGGCCTGTAAGGGCAGGATCCCCACTGAATTCCCCGGAGCGCCTGCAGGTCCCGGGTTGTGCTGGGAAACCCGAGGGCTGATGCCATCTGATGGCTCTGGGACCACGTGGGTCCCCCTCTCTCTGTTCTTGTCCCTGCTGTTCTCAGCTCTGGTTGGGGAGTGAGCCCGGCTGTGCTGTGGGGCAGAGCCCAGCTGGCAGCTTCCCCACCGGGACGAGCTACATGAACACTGAGAAGTTAAGCAGAGGGTAAGAGGCTGCAGGAAAGGGGCCAAGGAGCTAAAGTGGGGGGGCACGGGCCTTTCCCCACTGGGCAGCACACCCCAATGCAGTGCGCAATGGGAGGGGTTTGGTGTAATGAGCAGGTGGGTCGTTGTTCAGTATCTGGGTCACAGAAATGCACCCCCAACCCACTCAGCAGAGGCCCAGGGCTGAACCGGCCACCCCCCAAGTTCCCCTTCCCTGCTGCAGCCTGGAGCCTGGCCCGGCACAGCTGATGCTTCATCCAGCCCTGCTCTATGGAGAGTGACACGCATGCCAGTCTCGAGCACGGCCGAGCCAGCACCAGATTCATACACCCCCACCCCCAATTGCAATGCTTGAGGCAGCCAGATCAGCGCCCCATCACAGTCAGGGGGTTGGAGACCCTGTGCGAGAAGAAGTAGGGGCCCCTTCCCCCAGGACACAGCCCCAGCAGGAGGGTCTGACTCACTGCGTTTATGGCTGGTGCAGGACAGGAGCCGCTCAGCACCTGCAGCCGCAGGCTTTTGCCAGGCATTTCTGCCAACGCGCTTTGGCCCTCCTGGGCTGTGCTTGGCGGGGAACTGCACTGCTCAGCCCCACGGAAAGCTGGGTCTGTGCAGCCTCCCCCCCCACATCAGCACCCCTCCACGGGCTGCCATGGCACACAGGCCTGACCTCACACGGGGCCAGGGCAGTGTCGCTAGGAGTCGTCCTTGGAACCCAGAACCAGGCCAGGATTCATGGGAGCGGGCTGCATGTGGGTAGCAGACAGCTGGCTGGCCTAGGCTGAGCAGGGCCGGTCTGACAATGCGGGACCAGCTTGGCTTCCGCTGCTGTTCTAAACGCTGCTCTCGCTGACCTCTCACAATGAAACCGTGTAGCGGGAACCTGCTGAGCGAGACGCTGGTGTAGCTGAGCCAGCTAATTTGCTCCCTGCCCGTTAGTTTCTGGTGCTGGGGGGAGAGGCAGGCGCACAGCTGGGTTTGCAGCAGTGGCAGCTAGGAAACCTTTTGTCTTGTAATCTGAACACATTTGATCACTATGAGATACCCAATCAGCAGCCTTGTAACATCCTTCCAGGTTACTGCTCCGGGGAAGGCTGAGAAGCTCCTTCCAACAGACTTTGGAAAAGTGAGATCCAAACCTGAGCCCTGGCACCGCAATCCCACATGTGAAGAGCAGCCCTAGAGCTGACGGATTGCAGCGAAGGGGAGATCGGAAAGAGCTGAGCGCCATGGGCCGGGGAGTCTCCTGTGTGCCTATGCCTTTGGAAACTGTTCCTGCTGCTGCAGATGGCGCTTTTAAAAGATTTAAAGGTGCCGTACACAAAAAATGAAGCCATAGCAGTTCGGCAGCTAAATACCCTACAGCACACCCCATGTACAAACCCAGCCCGGGCCAGTCCAGGTCAGGGCTGCTGCGACAGGCCATGCTACCAGAGGGATGCTCAGAGAGCACCATGGTGAGTGCTGGGAAAGCCAGCCCGGGCAGGAGGTGTGCCCTGGGGAGTGATTCCTGTGGGCTGAATGCCAGGCTGTGGGAAGAGCCTCAGCCCGGCCTCTTGGAGAGAGGAAGGGAGGAAAGAATCCCTAGCACCAGGCCCGTGGGATCCATGTTGACTGGGAGGGGGAAGCTGGAGATGGCAAAGTACAGCGCCTGAGCACAGAGCATCCTGCACCACTCCAGCTCCTGCAGCAGCCACTACAGCAGTTTTCAGACAGGCTTCCACCCACTCGGCTCTAGGGGGGCGCGGTGAGCTGACCTGGCCAGCACCGGGGCTTGGGCAGTGTTTGCAACGTGGGCTTAGGCTCAATCAGAAAAAACCTTGCCAGGTGCATTCAGTGCTGCAGGCTCTGGCCAGGCCGTGGCTGCAGACTCAGCTCATGTGGGCCCAGCCCGACACTCTGACCAGCCTGTGAACATCGTCACTCAGCGAGGGAGGTGGAGAATCCTCAACTGAGACTGGCTGGTGCCTTTCCCTGTCCGATAACCCTGAGGGCGACCTGCCCTGCTGGGACACGGAGCCCTGCCCCACGCTTTGCTCCACAGGTCTGTGGGCACGTCCGGCCACGGGGTCCCCTTACGCCCCTTTCCCCCAGTCTTGGGGGGTAGCATTACCCGCAGCCTCTCCAAAGCGAACAACAGGCAGGGTTCCTAGTCATTGAAGATGGGGAGTTGCTGTCGTTTTTGTCCTCCATTTCCCAATCTGTCTGAAAGCAAAGCCCCCCCCAGAACACTACTTATGTTTTAGTCTGACAGTCTCCTGCTTGCAGGGAATCAATACAAACAAAAAGCTGCTGACACGCATTCCTGGTTCCATGGCAGGGCAGAAAAGCAAGGACCGGAGCCCAACAGGCCAACACGCCGCACACCCTGCTCCCCACCAGCAGCCAACGAAACGAGGGGCAGCCCCTCGATTGCATTAAAACACACACCACACACGTTCGACACTTTGCTTTTCAACCTGCCGGATCAAAGGAGCAGCACCCCCAGCCATTCCACCTGCGCCAGGCACTACCCCACCTACAGCAGGCACCCTTGGAGAGACTGCAGAGAGCTACGCAGGCTGGCATAGAGATGCAGACACAGCCACGGAGCCGACTTTAAAAAACGGTTACTTTCTCATCTGTAACCTCAATAAAAACTGCACCTTAGCCCCTCTCTGTCCCCAGTTCTCACGTCGGCAGCAGCCAGACCCGCCGTCCCTCACGCTCCCGCCGCATCCCTTCCCCGGGATTCTGTCTGGGGCTGATGAAGCTGCATTAATGAGGATGGTGCTCCCCAGCTGTGGGCTGCTGGGTCCCTGGCGGATGCCTGCATGCAAGATGTGCAATAGACACTTACCCAGAGAGACAAGCAGGCTGAGCCCAGTGAGGCACCAGGTGAGCCGGAGAAACCAAGGCTCCTTGCTCATTTTCAAGGACCTTTGTGTATGGCGAAGATTGTGGTGTTTGCTGTGGCTGCTGTTTGCTGCTGTTGTTTGGCTTTGTTTTTTTCAAGTGCACTGGGTTATTTCCAAGACACACATAATTTTAGAGCTGCTTTATTTCCCAACCTCCAATATGGCCGGCTGGAGGGTTGCTGCTATTAAAAAAAAAAAAAGCAGTAAATTTTATGGTTGGTGGATTCCATCAAAGGACATGGGAGGGCATCAAAATTTCCTCGGAAGCAAAGGAACATGCTCTCAGCGTCTCTCCTGCTCTGCACTCTGGGAGGTGGTTCTGGTGCCTGATCCGGTTTAAAATTGCCACCTTATCAAAGAGCAGAGTGGGTTTCCTCCTGAGCCAGTTAGTGCCTGTGATGAGGGCAGGAAGGGCTGTATTACTGCAAACCGTTAGTCTCTCTTCACCTTCTGGCCTAAGTAATCTGCAGGGTTTATTTCTCCTACAGAGGCTCCCGGCATGCTCTGGTGACTATCACGTTAGCTAAGCACATACCTGAGCGATGCAGCCTGTGTTCTGGCTCAGTTTAACCCCCAGCAGGCTTGCCCACCATGCCTTACATTGTGCGGGCTCTGTTACCTTGGGTGTTATCTCGCAGCTTCCCAAGCCCTGCCTGGCTTCCCTACAGCAGAGAGTTACTTCCCGCTAGACCTTGCGCAGGTGTGTTGAGTTGGAGGCAGGAGATGGGCAAGGGGCTGACTGCCCATCACGCTTTCCAGGGGAACGCCGGAGCTCTGGAATAACAGCTGCTTGGCAGTGGGGTGAGGAGAAGACTCCTGGTAGGGCAAACGCTGCCCTGGGCTCTGACGGGGTTTCCCTTGTTTAACCACAAAAGGAGAAGGAAACGGGCTCTTTGCTGAGCCAGCAGTTCCCCTTCCCCATTATGAGGCTGTGACATCCAGGCCCTAGGCTGCAAACCACCACCCACCCTCCTTAACATCTCCACACCCAGCTGCTAACAACCTGAGCATCGCTATCCCAGGAGCTAATAAACCACCAGACACAGGGCCCTAGCGGCCAGCCAAGGCAATGCAGCATCTCCAGCGCAGAGCTGTGGTATGGGCTCTTACTGGGTGGGCGGAGGCAGGGGCAGCTTTCCTGGAAGAAAGTTCTGGGGCGAATGCAGTTCCCTTTGCTAAGGGCGGGAGAGGAACATGAGCGCTGCGATCGCCACCCACTGGCATGAAGACATACCAGGAAAATCTCTCGCGGCCTAGTGGAGACTGAAACACACGTGGGAACTCAGCTCCCACCCAGCCAGGACCCAGCCTGGGACTCTGAGCCTTGTTCTGCAGAGCATTGGGGAAAACGCAGCCAGGCCAGAGAAACGACGCTGCCATCAGCATGCAAGCTCACCACACACTGCTCTGCCCATGCCACAGTACTGGCTAGCAGCCCCCTTGCTATTACAGCCCTGGGCCTCGCCTGTGTAGGGCTCCTGCTCTAACGGGTCAGTTAGGTGCATGCCACCTGCGTCACGTTTCCTGTGGCCCAAGCCCACATCTGAACTCCCTTCATCACCCATCCCGAGGAGCATCAGCCACACCTGTCTGGGGCTGCCCCACTGACAGGCCATGCAGCAATGAGTCCCTCTCCTAGGCTCTGGGGGCAGAATTCTCCTCCAGCCAGGTGGATGGAGCTTGCCCACCTCTGGCCTTTCTCTCCTGCAGAGCACAGCCCGCTCTGGCTCTCCGCGTGCAGCAGACGCCAGGCGGTGCCGAGACCAGGTTCAGCCCAGACAGAGGTAAATCACAGCTCCATGTGGCCTCTGAGAACAGCTTTGGCTGCAGCAAAGGGTGCGCGCTCACTTCCCCCATCCCAGACAGCATGACACTCACTGCTGTTCTTCCCAGTCGGTGCAGAGGGGGCAGGCAGTGAGGGCTCAGGAGCAGGGCGAGCATCCGACCCGAATGGCTACAAGGTGTTCCCAGCTACTCCCTGGTTCACGCCATGGGCGTGTCCCGGACTGACTCTGCACCTCAACCTCAAACAGGCTGATGGGCTCTCCAGGGCCTGGGTGCTCCACTGGGACATTCGCTCCCTCGGTAGGGAGCAGCATAGGGACATTCATGTAGCACCCGCCCCCACCATACCTGGGACTAGCCCACCCTGCCAGCCCCTCGGTTTTTCACCAGCACTGAATTCACTGATGGGCGGGATGAGGGAATGGGATCTAATCTAACACCCAGGGGTAAATGAGTACGGACGGGGAGGGAACTGATGCTGCAGGACCCACCAGTAACGCCCTGCACTTTGGCTCACCAGCCAGGGAGCGGAGGGAACACTCCCACGGAGCACATTCCCTAACATGCGGGCCCAGCTTGGTGAATCCCAGGCACCCAGTGGATGAGTGAGGCTTGCTGGGCAGCCCCCCGGCAGTGTAGCACTTGTGTATCCCCTGGCTCCTCCCCTCCTGGGCCTCTGAACTGACAGGGGCTCTAGCCTACAGCAGCACGGGAAAGGGCTTTAGTCGGCTGAAGCTGGGGAGAGTTCGTACATCATCCATGGAATGCATGTGCGGGGAGAAGCCAGGGCATGGGAATCTCTACAGACACCATGTCCCAGCTGTGACACGAAAACCAGCATGTGAGATGCAAGCACGTGGCCTTTGCTCCGAGGACAACATTAACCTGTTCCCCTTTCCCACACAGCATAGTTCACGTGGTGGCGTTGATCCGTGTGCAGTAGGGAGCACAAGGGTGCTGGTCCCCAGGATGTGGGAGGGTGAGTCCATATGTTCCCTACTACACAGAAATCAAAGCCGTCCCCTGAACCATGCTGTGTCGAAAGGGGAACAGGTTAAGGCCATCTGAGCAGAGGCCACCTTCACTGAGCAGGGGAGAGGTCAAATCACTTGCAGGGGCAGTCCTTTGCTCACAGGAGCTCAGGGAATAAAAAGGACAGGGAGCACCCGTGTCTGAGGAGCAGGCTCCTCGTCAGGCTAACGAGGTGCTCAGCTCCGTTCCCTCCTGCCAGGCAGGACTCGGCGGACAGCAGCACTCGTGCAGGATCCGACTCCCAGCTGTGCTCAGCACCTCCTTCCTTGCCCTTATGCTGGCAACAGTCCATTGCTCAGCTAGGCAGGCAGGGAAACTGCCATGAACTGACACGCTGGCAACGTCGGCCAGCCCGGGCAGTCAAAAATCACAAATCGGGCCCCCAGAATCATGAGATTGGCTTAAAAGTTGTGAGATTTGGGGTTGGGTTTTGTTTTCTTTGCCTTCAAGTGTCTAAGCCTTTAGGTTGAACTTGGGTCACATTTTCAAGCTTTTCTTTGCAACCATGAGGGCTAGAAGCTCTCGCTTGTTAAACAAACGCTGAGATTCTCATCCAGTGACAGGATCCCAGAGCCGGGCTTCAAGACAAACCCCAAAGAGCACGAGACTCGCCCTGGAGTCACAGTCACAGTCACACAGTCTCTCTCTCTCTCTCGGACTGAGCACTGCCTATAGTTTGTAAAGTGCCTCGTGACCCTGCCAGAGAGAAGGCACCTGAAGTATCAGATTATTCATTAAAGCACAGGATTATTATATACTAAATCACTAAGCAGATCTATTGATTGTGTAGCATGAAGTCTCCCAGCTACAATGAATAGCCCCAGGCATTCCTGTCTGGGGCACTGTTAGCTCTGACATAACAGGCCCTTAGTCATTACTTACAGCCTTATATTTGTTTCAACTTCAATAAAAATTTGTTGGCATATTTTTTAAGCCACTCACTCTGGTTCTTCTGCCTCACCAACAAAAAACGAGTGGGGTGGCAATGTGAAACAAACGACTGCAGCATATAGCAACTTTTGCTGCATTGGCCCATGTGCCAGCGCTCAGGCTAAGAGTAGAGAGTGGTCCCCCATCCTTTCCAGGAATGCAGCGAGCCCATCTCAGATCACTGCACGTGGAGGTGTCAAACATCTATATATAGAGCCTGGAGGGAGAACTGGCCCCAGCAGAGGCTGTGCTCTGGGAGAAGGGTTCTAACCCCGGCGCAAGGGAAGAGACCAGGGCAGGGCAGGGAGCCGACCCGCTCAGAAATAAGGGGCTGAACCAGTCCCGTTGTTTGCTAGCAACTTGGAACCTCAGATGCAGATTTTGTCCAGGTAGAACAGAGTAAAAGCCCCCGCCCCTGGCGTTACGGATCTGGAATATTCCTAGTTATTGCAAGTGTATAAATGGAGACACAAACACATGTAGGGGGTGGTGCTGCACGTCTATTTACACACACAGAGCACTGGCTTTGCTACAGTTCAACTGAACTATTTCCCCAGGACGTCGGGTTGCTTGTTTCCCATGTGGCTCTGGCAGAAGGTGCCAGGCTGGCAGCCTGGAGCCCGCTCGGTGCCCATGCAGCAGGCCAGCCCAGGCAGGTGCAGGGCACCCAACACCTGATCACCCCCTCCTCCCTGTCTGGAGGTGGGACTCTCCCTGGAGTTCTCTCTCGCTGGGTTTTGACGGCACCGGCCAATATCCCAGCCAGAGAGTGGAAGCTCTGCCACAGGGCACTGCCCGCCCGCAGAATGAGGGTGAAACCAGAGCAAAGTCCATTTACCTTCATCGCCCTCCTGTGCCCCACTCCTGGCCCGCCCCAGTTAACAAGGAGTGCCCTCCCACTGCCCTGTCGCAGGCCAGGCCATGCTGGGCTCATGGCGCAGACGCGAAAGCAGCAGCAGCCCCATCAGAGCGTGAAGTGACCCTTTCGAAAATGTCCTCGATGAGCAGCAAGTCTACACAGCGCTGGGCACAGTGAGGCCCGGTCCTGGCTGGGGCTGGCAAGTGCTGTCACAGCACAAATAGATTATAACCCGGACAGCGAGTGTGATACGGCCCATGCCCTGTACAGACTGAGAGGCAGCCCTGTGGCACGCTGACGGAGTGGGTAGAGTTTGTCCCTGGGGGAGGTCAATGTCCCTGGCTGTTGTGCCAGGCTGGGCTCAGAGGTGCTTTCCCCCCATCCAGGGCACAAGGGAATTCCTCCTCTGGGCAGTTGGACTTTTCACAGGTTTTCTTGCTTTCTTGGGCTCCTTCATTGCACAGTCTCCCCTCATCCAGCCATTCCACTGGGATCTTCTTCCTCTGCAGCTGGACGTACACGTTGTTCTCCAGCAGTGCAGTGCCCGCCCCATGG